GATTGAGATTCGGATCAGATCTCCTATTTTGATTGAGATTCAAATCAGCTATCCGATTTTGATTGAAATTCGAATCAGACCTCCTATTTTGATTGAAATTCGAATCAGATCTCCTATTTTGATTGAAATCCGAATCAGATCTCCTATTTTGATTGAGATTCGGATCAGATCTCCTATTTTGATTGAAATTCGAATCAGATCTCCTATTTTGATTGAGATTCAAATCAGATCTCCTATTTTGATTGAAATTCGGATCAGATCTCCTATTTTGATTGAAATTCGAATCAGATCTCCTATTTTGATTGAGATTCGGATCAGATCTCCTATTTTGATTAAAATTCGAATCAGATCTCCTATTTTGATTGAGATTCAAATCAGCTATCCGATTTTGATTGAAATCCGAATCAGATCTCCTATTTTGATTGAAATTTCAATTAAATAATGAAATCTATAATAAATTGCATGTAATTTAAATTCACTGTATCAATTTACCTTATAAATAAAAGAAGTTTGTTTTAAACTTACATGGCTCAGCATCAGGAGCATTGGAGGTGTGAAGAACGAATTGACCAGTCTCTCCACTCTTAAAACCATAACCAAGAGAAAATCTACAAAAAAAATAAACACCTTTCTATTTCTTTATAATAATTTTTTACCTTGGTGGCCCATTCGCGTTTCCTTCTCGATAAAACTTGAGCACGGTGAACGTGGCTGAATACGTGGGAGTGTTCCCGTTCAGCGAGTTGTTCGTCAATGCTCCGACTAAATTTGTTGTGCTAGGTGGATAAATCTTGATATAAAACTCGAATAAACTATATAAAACTATAAAAAACATACAATGTGAAATGGTGCAGGCTTCACGGATTACATGAGGGCTGTTGATCACCTAAAAAGTTTAGGGGATTTTATGTAAGCAAGGAGCATTCTGGCAATTGGTGAATTTGTGATTTTTACGAAAAGAAACGAAAAGACTTTCTGGACAGTCTAATAATTACATTAAATCTAATACTCTATCAGTTTTAAGCTTTATTCTGATAATGTTTATTCAACTATGCAACTTTTTTTGAAATTAAACTAACTTGAAACCATCTGCCCATCATTCGTGCCACATCGACATTCTCTGCAGCTGGGTGAATCGCTTTGAAGACATCTTTAGCCAAGTTTTTGGCAGAGTCCTGGAATTGTAAATAAGCTGGAAATAAGCTGTAAGCTGTAAGCTGTAAATAAGCTGTAAATAAGCTGTAAGCTGTAAGCTGTAATAAGCTGTAAATAAGCTGTAAGCTGTAAGCTGTAATAAGCTGTAAATAAGCTAAAAATAAAGACTTCTGTGCTCTAGATAGAAGACGTTTCTCTAGATAGAATAGAACACAAAAAAACATTCAAGAACTAAAGCCAACCTTTGGCAGAATTCGGCTGATCGATGAGCCGAGTAAGGTGTTCGCTGGTGGAATCATCTGAGGGACAAGTTGACCAACCTAAACAGATAAATGGTTAATGGTTTTGTAAGCTTAATAGTTTAATAGCTTAATACTTTAATAATATTCTTTTGTTCAATTACTGACAAGATAGTTGAAATTGCTTAATCCGGGAATTGTATTCACTCCGGGGATCGTCGGGATATCTTGTGGTCCTGGGAAACCGGGCACAGGAATTGGAGCCAATCCAGCGATCTGTCCAGATGCAATGCCTAAAGTTCATTAAATAATTCGACAAATTTGTTAGATAATTAGTGGAAAAACCTTGTAAATTGACTCTATTCGAGTTTGCTTCTTCAACAATCGAGTTGAGATCTTCATTTTGTGCAAATGATGTGGGAGCTCTTCTCATATCACCTCGGAAGCCCATCCTTGCCAGAATACTCTCAGCAACCTCACCTACCTAGAAATATAAACAATTTCATGCCAGGCTTTCAAAAAAATCTTTCTAAATAAAGAAATGAAAGCTGAATTTTCCTTTGAATAGTTAACCATTGCAATGTTTTTTTTGGTTTTCGTTTAAGCAAGAATTTCTGAAGCTTGAACGATCTTCAAAGCTTCAAAGCTTTCAAATCAACAGTTAGTGCTTTAAAAAGTTGCTCTTTTTGTTTAAATGTCATTAATAAAGCTTACAGATTCGATAAAATCAATAAAATCTATCGGTGTTAAAACTTTTTCCAGTAGATATAGTACTGGACAATGAAATATGATATTTGAAAAACGACCGTCACTTTTGCGCGCGCTGAAAAACTCTGGAGTTGGAGCTACTGAAGCTCTGGAGCTCTGGAACTCTGGAGCCCCGGATCTCTGGAGCTCTGGAGCTGAAACTCTGGAGCTCTGAATCTCTGGAGCTGAAACTCTGGAGCTCTGGAGCTGGAGCTGGACCCTACTGGACAATGAAATATGATATTTGAAGAACGATCGTCACCTTCTGTAACTCCCTTGTCTTTGAGTTCAAACTATTAGTGTTATACATTATCGGTGTTATACATCATCGGTGTTAAATCTTTTTCCAGCAGATACAGTATTGGACAATGAAATATGATATTTGAAAAACGATGATCACTTGAAAAACGATCGTCACTTTCGCGCGTCTGTAACTCCCTTGTCTTTGAGTTGAAACTATTAGTGTTATACATTTTCTGAAAGCTCTTTTCAAGGGCTACACAATGGTAATATTAATATTTAGAAATACGGTAAAGACAAGAGAGTTACAGGCGCGCGAAAGTGACGATCTTTTTTCAAATATGATATCTCATTGTCCAGTAGTGTATCACCGTTTCCGTATACTAATTGACTTCCGGGATCTTTTTAAAGCATACATAGTATTGAAAGCAATCAATCCTCACTTATAATGCCAGATTTTGAAGGTTTCTTTTTACAAATACGATCGCTTTTCTTTGCATAACACTAACCTTAGCTAAATCCTGTCGTTGCTTCTCGTTCAATTGTTGATTGATCGGTTCCACGGGTTCTTCGGGCTTAATTGGTGGGGGTAGCTGAAAACTGTCTTTAAATAAAGGCAAATGAAAGTTATGACTTTTTTTTTCTCAAACTTAAGCCTACCTTTTCTACATCATTTCCAGCTGGAGCGGCAGAGATGAGTCCCAACAATGGGGCCAAGTACAATAACCGCATAATAGATAAAAGTACAATGAAAAGGTGAAAAGTGAAATCTAGAAGTTGAGTTTTCTTTTTGAAAGAGAGAAATTTCAGAGCTGAAAAGAGAAATCCGGTGACCGTTAAGCTTTCAGAGAAAAGAGGACAAGGGAGAAGAGGACTAGAGTCTGAAAAAGAGCGGATATTTGGGGGAAAAGGAACAGTCAGACTACGACTATCTCTCTTTTCAATGGCCTAAATTCTCTGGATAGAAAAAGAGCTTTAAATCCATTCAATGAACTTTCACTGAAAGTAACAAAATGATAGCTTTCGGATCAAAATGATATTCAAATATGGGGAAGTGGATTTGTAGTGAATGTTCAGAGTTGGTAATGGTTGAATTGAATGACTAACGATCAGAGATAACGAGGAATTGATTTCAATTCAAGCAAAGTTTACTTTTAAACAAAATCTTTAACAAATCTTTTATTTCTTTTCTGTAAAATTCAAAAGAAAAAACAAAGAAACATGATTTTTTTTGATTTTTGACTCAGCGATCAAATTGAAAGTTGAAAATGAGCTTTTTTAAACGAATACAGCTTACATTTATATGATTTTTATGATAAAAAAGCCAAAATTTATCTAATTTTGATCATATATAATCAAAATTTATATGATTTTCAATAATATATCAAGAAAAAAAGAGCAAGTTTTCAGATTTGATTTGATTTAAAATTGATTTTTATCAAAAAACGAGGGTTTCTTTTGGTGTTAAATCGCTCCTACTTGTATTTCCATCGAAATTTTATCTAGTAAACCTATAGAATGAATAAGTCTAAGATAAGAGTTATTTATAGTCTATAGATCTATAGATATATAGACTATAAATGACTGAATATCTTGTGAATAAGATCTATAGATTTATAGACTATAGATAACTCTATAGATAACTGAATATCTTATGAATAAGATCTATATAACTATAGACTATAGATAACTGAATATCTTATGAATAAGATCTATAGATCTATGGACTATCGATAACTGAATACCTGATGGATAAGAGCTATAGATCTATAGATCTATAGATAACTGAATATCTTATTCAGTTATCTGTAGTCTATAGATAACTCTATAGTCTATAGATCTATAGATCTATAGATTCAGTTTTCTAACAATCTCCTAATTTTACTATTAGCCAGTTTTCTCCTTTTCTTTCAGTCATAAGCGCTCCGTTCTCACCCAGAATGGTGTTAAATCGATCCTACTTGGATTTACATCGAAATTTTATGTAGTAAATCTATAGAATGAATAAGATATTCAGTTATCTATAGTCTATAGATTCAGCATTCTAACAATCTCCTAATTTTTGCTATTAGCCAGTTTTCTCCTTTCCTTTCAGTCATAAGCCCTTTCTTGTCCCTCCCGACAGCTTTCAGCTTTGGTCAAGTGGCTAAGCGTCTCGATTCTAAAGCAGGCGATCCTGGTTCGACTCCGGTCCCAACCACCATTCGTTACTATCCGCTTTTCATTTCTATTGAATCGGATAGGGGTTTATCTGGTGGAAAATCAATTAGAACTTATTACGTTTCAGACTTTGTTTCTAAGTCTGAAATTCGCAAGAGTTCATACAATTTTGACTTTCTGATTTCTATTGTTAAAGTTTTAAGCTTTTAAAAAGATTTTATTCAAAAAAAATCCAAACACATAAAAAATAAAAGAAAAAACGAGTTGGAATGCGAATTTTTTTGGTAAAGATCTTTCACGTAATAAAGTTTAGTTAAAAAATTCTTATCTATGTACAAAAATAATGCACAAATGCCCGGCTAGCAAGAGGAAAAAAATTGAAAGACTTATTTTAAAATCGATAAAATCGATAAAATATGAAAATCCTATTGTAATGAGAAGGAGAATTTATAGAATTTATCCTTGAAGATTGAAGAGTGATGGCGGGAAAGTGCACATACCGCTGTCAACAGAGGAGACAATGTTTAAGAGCTTTGAGAAGCCATTCACCCAACCTTTCTTCTCCATCAGCTCAGTCACCTCAGCCTCGTATTTCTGAAAAGATTTCACTTGTCAATTAGTCAAGAATGGTTAGAGCAAACTATTCTTAAACAATTGATTTTTGATTTCTGCGTGACAGCCCCATTTTGCGTTCTAAACATGTGTTTCTTAAGAAAAAACGCGATCTGGCACACGGTGCAAACATATCCCCCCACGTTTCGGACTTGATTTGGATGAAAAAAAGACCTGCACCGAACTACAAAATAGTGGAAGTGGCGGATAGGCTTGTTGAAAAAAAAAATAAAATCCTGTGCCCCCCATCCCTCCGGAACTTTCCCCAACCACATCATGACTTAAGACTTGTTCGAGCACTATTGGGGTGAAATTGGAAGCAGTTTGATTGAGAGTTGGTTGATCTAACTGATAGCAGAATCAGGGTTGTTTCCGAGACAATTTTTCAAGAAATCTTGAGGCCAATTTTATCTTCTGACATTGGTTGGGTTGGTTAGGCTTTGGATAGGTTTGGCTTTGCTGGACAAAGGTTTAAAACTGACTAGATCCACCAAACCACCATTTATCCACCATTTATAATCTAGCATTTACCAATTTACCTTCTAGCAATTTTGCTAAACGGATTTAGCAGTTTAACATTTACCAATTTTGCTAAATCGATCTACCAATTTAGCCTTGCTAAATGCTAAATGCTAAGTGCTAAACGTCACAATTTTGCCAAATTTAGCAAATTGAGTTTTGTTTCTTGTAGGCTGAATATTCTGAGCCAGATAAAGGTAAGTTTATGTGCTCAAAATTAGCTAAATTCGGCTTGTTTTATAGCTTAAGTATGTCGGAGTTCGAATCTGTGAAGAGTTTTTTTTTGATATCTTTGTCCAAAGCAGAGCTATAGGTGTTTCGGAGCTGGCAGCACTGCTAAACACTCTCGGAGATGTTTAGCAAAATCCAAGGTTCACCAAAAAGACTTGGTTAACTTAAGCCTAAGCCTAAGCTTGATGGACCTAAGCCTAAGCCTGATGGACCTAAGCCTAAGCTTGATAGACCTAAGCCTAAGCTTGGTGAACCTAAGCTTGATGGACCTAAGCTTGATGGACCTAAGCTTGATGGACCTAAGCCTAAGCTTGGTGAACCTAAGCCTAAGCTTGGTGAACCTAAGCTTGATGGACCTAAGCTTGATGGACCTAAGCTTGATGGACCTAAGCTTGATGGACCTAAGCCTAAGCTTAAGCTTGGTGAACCAAAACCTAAACCTAAGCTTGGTGAGCCCAAAAATTTAGCCAAATTTAGCTCTGTTTGCTAAATTTACCTCTTTTTTTCTAAATTTAGCAGTTGGTGGACCCAGACTGAACCTTTTGACCAGACTTTGACCTTGCTTAACCTGTCATTTGACTTTAGTTTGATTTTGTTGCTTTTCAGCGGTGAACCTTTTGTCGAATACATTAATGCTAAATCACTAGGGTTAACTTTTCCACCTGCTTATAAACAATTGGATCCCTTGCAAAGACGTAGAGTGGATAATTGCAATTCGTCGACATCACCACATACTCGTACTCACTATTTGAATTGAGTGGGCCGACGTGGAGAACGTGAACTAAACGAGGAGTTGAATAGTTTGATAGAGGAGCTCACTATTGACGTCCTCTTTGCTTCCCGATGTTCTCATTAAAAGCTCTCCTGGGGATTTCACAAGCGCGTACCCGGATGAGATCATCGGTTTTCCGTATGGAGTGCCATCGGTAGAATATTCGAAAGTCTCGAACAAGCTACCAGCTCCTAAAATCCAAATTTAAAATCCTGAAATCTTTTCAATACATTATCAGGTACAAAATTTGACTTTTTATAGATAAATCATTTTATAGATCACATTTAAAATAGAGTCAAAAGAAGCAAAGAAGTAGAGCATAAGTCTACCTTTTTTTTAGCGACTGGATTCTTTAAATTACCATATTTTCTAATTTCATAACAGTACTAATAACAGCTCTATATGAACAATACTATAATTTCTTTCAATTACTACTTACCGTAAATACTTTAATAGTACCCCACCGCCATAATGACGGTGCGGAGTGTTGTGTAGTCTAGCTTTGAACGAGTTTTTCTCGACACTGGTTTATGCTACAATGCGCGCTTAGGTATCAAAAAATAGCTGAAATTCAGGGCTATTTTTTGATACTAAAGCACGCATCGTAGCATAAAGCAGCGCGGAGAACGGAATGTTTAAAGTTAGACTACGCAACAATCCCGAAAAAACGCGTTTTTCTCGACACTGGTTTATGCTATGATGCGCGCTTTGGTATCAAAGAATAGCCCTGAATTTCAGGGCTATTTTTTGATACCAAAGACGCATTTTTTGAAAGTACGGGTGCTTTGCAAAAAATGAAATACTAAAAAGCTTCTGGACCCCACCCCCATAATGACGGTGCGGAGTGTTGTGTAGTCTAACTTTGAACGAGTTTTTCTCGACACTGGTTTATGCTACGATGCGCACTTAGATATCAAAAAATAGCTGAAATTCAGGGCTATTTTTTGATACCAAAGACACATTTTTTGAAAGTACGGGCGCTTTGAAAAAAATGAAATACGAAAAAACTTTTGCGACTACGCGACTGTACGAGGGCAGTGGCGTACTATTACAGTATTTACGGTATTCATTCTACCTCCATTGTTGACTTCGCTGAGTTTCTTATAGGCAACCATACTGCACGGTCCATGAGAAAGTGGAGGTGAGTAGACCACCTAAAAAGTCAAATTGCGATTCGATTTGAGACAAAAATGACAATTGAATTCGTCATAAAATAAAGCATGAGGCCCATTCAAGCAGCAATTAGATAAATGTCTGTAGCTCATTGGTAGAGCGTTGGCCCGGTAAGCGAGTCCGTTAAGCGAGAGGTCGTGGATTCGAAAGATTAAAAAATCAGAGAAGTGGGCAATTAAGTTGTTTATTTTCTTCTCTCATAGACAACTAGAGTTCGTCAAAAGTCTTTTTGAATCAGCAAAACGATCAACCAAAGATCTGCGTTTGCACAAAAGACCTGCAATGGAATGGTCTAACTTGGGATCCCAACTCCAAATACTTCTTATTTGTAGATATTTAAAGCTGATTTAAAATGTATAGATAACTTTTGATAAGAGACAAATAGCTTTCACAAAAGACCAACAATGCAATGAAATAGCCGATCATGTTTTATCTTCCCAATTCAACTATTGCAAATTAAAATTCACCTGATACCATTGACCGAGAATGGCATAAAAGTCAAAATCAACTGGATCGGGTTTAGAAGTGCAAAGGGGTGAGCTTGGTTGGATGATCAGGTTTTGAATCATTTCCAAGTTCTCTGAATAGATATTTATAGATATTTATAGATATTTATAGCTTTTTTTCTTTTAAATCTTGATCTGGCTGACCTCCAATAGCTGACTTCTGAGCATCGGTGAGTTCGGTGTTGTTCGAGCTGGAGTCGGTGTCATTCTTAAGAATTGACCCAGCGGTGAGAGCCTGGAATGTATGCATTGTCTATGGAAGTATCTTTTTGAAAGAATTGTTTAGAATTCAAGATTCTGTCACGATATGTTTAGAATTCAAGATTCTGACTAGGTTCTAAAGCATTCAAATATGTCTTTGAGATCTGACAAAGAGAGAATTCAACATAAACAGCCAACAAAAGAAGAAAAATTAAATTCTTCTGACAATTTGATCTTTTTTAACATATTTCTTGACCTTACTCTTGAGTTTACAATCATAGCTAAACCTTAGAATCATAGCCAAATCTTAGAATCATAGCTAAACCTTAGAATCATAGCCAAATCTTAGAAGCATAGCCAAACCTTGTACAAAGCTCCGGAGAAGAAGTTCTTCATCGGAATCGGGCTGTTCTCTCCACCCAACAAATTCGAGACTCCGGCGGCAAGCGATTTTGCATCGGATTCATTCGTCGCCTTTGGTCCCTCTTTGGCTTTCTTTGCTCCAAGAGAGATCAAATTGAGAATCGTTCCGATGAGTCCTCCACCTCCTGTCGATGTCTCTTCAGCTAATCCTCCATATTCGCCCTCGTTCGGTTCTCCGTCGTCATTCGTCGGCACCTAGACAAAATTGGGGTTTGTTCTTTGAATCGTTTTTAAACTAGCTGAAAGATCCGCCTGACAAAAACCCGCCGAGAAAACGGCTGAGAAAACGGCTGAGAAAATGGCAGCCACCCCGCTTAACAGCGGCGCAGTTCATCGCGCATTCAGTAGCGCGCATTTCTACGGCCCACACGATCCGGGTTCGACCCAGGGTTCGACGTCACTCTATTTCCACTTTTTAAATTTTTATCTTAAATGGCACAACTACAATATATTCTAAGGTTTTTTAGAAATTTTAGCTTTATTGATCAAAACACGGCTGAGAAAATGACAGAAAAGCAAACAGACAGTCCGAATCCGAACTGACTTTATATTTCTTTACTAAATTAACTTTTTCCAGATTTGGCTTCACTTTAGGAATCTATAAATCTTGCTCTACAAAATGACACCAAAATGTTCAAAATCGACTCACTAGTTTTGGAGATACAGCCACGCAAAGTGTCGAGGTCAAGGATTTAATTCAAATTCAGATTTAGCATCAGAAAAACCATTGAAAGTCTTGGCGCTTATTGAAGAAATTCGCTTTTCTTCGTTTTTAGATAAATTGGATAAATACATTTTGGGCTTCTTGGCTTTCTTGATCTAGATGAGCTTGAGCACTCATCAATTGAATCAATTCAATTTGATTCAATTAATGGGCTTGCTTTCAATTCGTTTTGTATTTGTTTCTTTGTTCAGAAACTCGACAAGGACAACAGTGGCGATCCGTTTTGTAAAAGCTGTTGTTTTATTCAAAGCTCACCTCTCCAACAGACTCAGGTGCTCGCCGAATATCCGATGAAAGCATTCCATTTTCGGGAACTGGTGGAGCTGACTCAATCATTGGCATTTCTGGAGCTCTGTTGATCACAACCTAAACCCAATAAAGCAATGCGTACAACTTTTAACTTATAGCCAACTTATTGGCTTTGTCACGGGCTACAGTTTTTCCTATCAACCCTGATAACTTTACCTATAGAAGTTTAGTTTAAAACGAACCGGTTGCTTTGTGGTGAACTCGTCACGGGGATCATTTAAAACTGGCACTTTCGGTAATTTTGGGAAAACGTTTGGAATGCCGGAGATTGACGGGCGGCCACTATTGTCCTTATCGAGTTTCTGAAAGGGAAATTGATCAAATTGAACTTTTTGTTTTAAAATTGAGTCTAGAATTCTCCTGCCTGATGTTTCTCATCATGAGAAAAACCGCCGACTTGTTTGTGATTGTTTTGCAGAGAAAACCCTGAGTTGAAACCTGGTGGAAGACTGTTTGATGACTCTAAAAAGTTTGCAAAAGTTTAAAACTATTTAAAAACTATTTAAAACTATTTAAAAACTATTTAAAACTTTTTAAAACTTTTTAAAACTGTTTAAAACTGTTTAAAACTGTTTAAAACTGTTTAAAACTGTTTAAAACTGTTTAAAACTGTTTAAAACTGTTTAAAACTTATGAATAAGTAAAGCTTTTCAAGTTTTACTGCTTACCTTCAGGAGCCGTGAAGAATTGTTCGAGTGTTCTTTCAAGATTAGAGATTTGTCGTGGAGGAGCACCGGGTTGAGTTGGCTCTGTGTGTTCGCCCACTTCATACGTTTTCTCAGGAAAGAAACCGCCGGGTCTAATATTAAAGAATCATCAAATTTCTATAGTTATTGGTTTAAATCGATTTAAACCGCTTTAAATCAGTTTAAATCAGTTTAAATCGGTTTAAATCAGTTTAAATCAGTTTAAATCGGTTTAAATCGATTTAAACTTTAAATCAGTTTAAATCGGTTTAAATCGGTTTAAATCGGTTTAAATCGGTTTAAATCGGTTTAAATCGAAAGCAAACAATCAACATCACCAATTCCACTGACCTTGGCCCAAGCAAAGACTCTACAAGTTCCCTGGCATGTCCATCTAGCTCGAAATATTTGCGAAACTCTGGTGGGACAGTTGGTTTTGGAGCAAATCTAAAAATGGAAATGTTCCAAATTGAGTTGAGACAGTTTTTTTTGAATAGATTGAGTTCAATTGAGGAGTAAAAGAAGGAAAAGAGGTTGAAACTAGGACAAGGTCAACGAGGATGAGGGGGAAATCGATGGAAAAAAAGTTGAGGGGATTATTAAGAACGAATTGACAGAGAGGAATTGCGGGGGATTTTCGGTTTTCGCATAGAAAATGGAAGACTTGTTATTTTAGTTATTTTTAATTGCATCTACATAGTTTTATCTATCAAAAATCTAAATAGAATTATTGGTTCATGAATTGAATCAATGCTTAAAAGGAATTTGATTCAGAATGTTGAAAAACTTATCTTAAACATCTATTGACAGTACTGGATATTAAAAAAATGAGTTAATCTTTCTTTTTGACATCTTTCAACATAATTTCAAGTTTAGTTTTTGCAAAAAATCAATCCGAAAACTAACTAATTGATGAGCTAACTGGTTTACATTGAAATCTATTGGGTTGGTGAATTGAAAACTCACTACCACTCTACCACCCTTGTAAAGGCTCAGCTGGCGGAAGACAGGCTTGTAATGTCGCGGTTTTTACGGAAATGTTGGCGGTCCAAAACTTTGAGCGCTTATAACTTTTGACAGAGTGGTCCATAGCAAAAACAGAAAGCAGATTCGGATTCAGCGCGAAATTCTGCGTCGAATTGTCTATGATCATTTGATTTGACCCCATCCAGTTGACCTTTTCAGTTGACTTTTCCAGTTTCAGTTGACTTTCCCATACTCTTGTTAGTTAATTTATCAAGAAATTATTGTAGAATGGTCTGGATTGGTCAAGCAGACAGGTAATCAAAATTAGACTACGTTTTTAGCTAATTTGTTTGCTCAATTGGATCTATTTGGTTTTCAATTGAAAACTGCGGGCTATTGTCATATGTGACAGTTCTGAGCACTTTCTTCAAAAGAAACCCATTTTGGTGTCAAGAGAAAAGTTGTAGAGAATCAAAAATCAAGCTTATATCCTAATTTTCAGAACGATTCAAAAACTGGTTTTCAAGAAATGCCAAATTTACGAATTTTCACAAAACTTGCATTTTAAGCGAAACTACTAAGTGTATCTTTTTGGAAATTTGGCTATAAGCCTAATTTTTGATTCTCTACAACTTTTCTATTGACACCAAAATGGGTTTCTTCTGAAGAAAGTGCTCAAACTGGGACATCTCCAGTCCTCCATTTTCGAGTCTCACACTTGCCTCACACACAAACCAAACTCCTACTACGAAAGAGGAATCCGCAAATTGCCTGTAAAATGGGCAGAAGTCGTGGAAAATAATGGAAATTATTTGGAATGAATTGATGGTTTTATGTTGAATAAATTTTAGTTCAAAGTGCCGCAGTTTTCAATTCACCAACCCAATATTTTTAAATATCAAAATTCTAACTTTTTTTCTAGAATATGAAGATTCTGGATCTTTATTAACTAACTAAATAAATTTCTTTAAATATTTATTAACTAGTTTAAAGCTAACACTCACCTTTCAGCGCTCGGCAGGGCGAAGGGCTCGAACTGAGCCCGAACAACTCCCAGGACCATCACGGTCCCCAATAACAAGTACATAATCTAAAATAGATAGTGGATAATAAAAATGTAAACAAAAACATATCAATTATGACAGATTGATAGTTAACAGATCGATTATGCAAGGATTAATTCAATGTTAAAGCCGAAAAAATCGTCTTCTCCAAGCGGTGAAAGAGAAATCAGATAATCATGAGTGAATCTAGGACATTTGAAAGGAAAAAGGAAAAGAGGAGAAGGTAGAAAGGACAAAAAGAGGAAGTAAAGGAAGAAAGGAGAAGCAACTCTTGAAATCTTTTACCCAAAATCGAAAGAAAAGAGGAGAAATTTGTGTCACTTCGCACCTCCGAGCACGACGACCGAGATTTCGACTCTCTCTTTCTCTCTTTTCTCAAAGATTTGAAAACCTAAATCCAAAATGGATCATAAAATAGATTTGTGAGAGCCGACTTTCACTCTTTATCGGAATTGGGTCGAGAAAAGGGATTTCTTGACATTAAAGGAATATTTAGACGGATTGATTGAGCTCGGGCTCTTAAAAGCAATCAAGCAATCAAGCAATCAAAAGATTACAGAAAGATTAATTCAAAGTGATTACAGGATGTGATAATGCTAAAGAACTCAAAAAACGACTGTTCTTGCAATGAAATCGATCGATCGATCGACTTGCTGCTGTACCAAAGCTGCTATACCAATGCTGCTGTACCAAAGCTGCTGTACCAATGCTGCTGTACGAATGCTGCTGTACCAATGTTGCTGTACCAATGCTGCTGTACCAATGCTGCTGTACGAATGCTGCTGTACCAATGCTGGTTTACCAATGCTGCTGTAACAATGCTGATATACCAATGCTGATGTACCAATGCTGCTGTACCTTTCAAAAACTAGTTAGGCTTGTTAGCTGTAACTTGACTGTATCCAAGATCTTTTTGATCAAAAGATAAAGTTTTTATGCGCCAGAAAAGGTGTTTTTTCGATTTTGGGCAGTCATTCATAGAATTACAATGAAGATTACAATACTTTGAAGTACAAGTTGAAGTGTATAATCATCTCCTTTTGATTATGCAATAAGTTAAAAACAATAAGTTAAAATGATTCCTATGTTGAAAGAGTTATACCCATTGCTTTTCTAACTTTCTCTCTCTAAAATCGGTCAAATTCGGGGCAAAGAGAGATCCAGCTTTTGGGAAAATGGGAACATTCAATGAATGGAAGTGAGAAACAAATCCGGATACTCTATCTAGTCATTCGTTTCACTTACAATTGGAGAGTTTTGGTGAAAGAATGAAAATTTTCGACAAAATAAACGCAAAACATTGCAAGTTGAAAGCTGAAATTATTCTGTAATCATTGTCGAAAGGTTTTCATTGCAAGATTTTGAAGATTTGAGACTTACAAGAACCATTTCATTGCAAGAGCCTTACAAGTTTTGATCTAAACTGTCTTTTATCTTTACTTATGATCATTTTTTGTTTGTTTTTTAGTTGTAAGCAAGTGACGTCATCTCCACAAGAGAAACTGACAAGTTTTAAAGAGTTTAAAAGACTTTTAAAGACTTTCAGCAGGTGACGTCATCTCCACAAGAGAAACTGATAACTTTGAAAGACTTTAAAAGACTTTTAAAGACTTTAGAAGACTTTTAAAGACTTTAGAAGACTTTTAAAGACTTTAGAAGACTTTAACAGACTTTTAAAGACTTTAAAAGACTTTCAGCAGGTGACGTCATCTCCACAAGAGAAACTGATAACTTTTAAAAGACTTTAAAAGACTTTTAAAGACTTTAAAAGATTTTAAAAGATTTTAAAAGACTTTAAAAGACTTTAGCAGACTTTAACAGACTTTTAAAGACTTTAAAAGACTTTCAGCAGGTGACGTCATCTCCACAAGAGAAACTGATAACTTTAGAGACTTTAAAAGACTTTAAAAGACTTTTAAACCATTTTAAACCCTTTTAAACACTTTTTAACCCATTCACGATACAACCAGATTATTTTTAGTGTAAATGAAAGTTTTTTTCAACTTGTGTATGATCTATACATCTTCTTTAAGTAAAGAATTCTTTATTTCAATTGGAATGTTTCGTTTGACCCGAGAAAAATTTGATATTTCATTTGTTAAAGTTATTGCTTGGCCAATTGATCAAGGATTTTCTTTGGGTTCTTGATAAAATCGGCGAATGGAGAATCAGAGATGATCGATTTTTCAGTAGACGATTTCGATTTCTCGTTTTGTTCTTGATTCTTTAGAACTCTGAAAAAAGGTTTTTCTGATTTCTGAAAAGAACTTTGTGAAGATACAAACCTCCTAGCGAAAACCTCCTTCTCCGTAGGCCATTCGCAATCTTGTCCCTGATAGATTGGCTTCGGGGAATTCCAGAAAACATTCCCGCCAAAGCCTTTCTTTTTCAAATATGTATTCACCTCTTCATTGTATTTCTAAAAGAGATATTCATTTGAAGTTTTGATTTTTGATAAACTTGATAGAAAGCCACTGGATCACGAGCGAAAACCATTAATGAAAGTCGATTTGCGTCAGAGATCACCAAATATTGAAGTCCTTCTGGAGCCATTGTGGTCAACGTTTCATTGTCGTAGCCAGGTCCCGTATGGATTATGTAGACTAAAGAGTTTAGACTTGTTTAGACTTGTTTAGACTTGTTTATGTCTGTCAGTTAATCCAATTGACTTGTTTATGTCAATCAGTTAATCCAATTTACTTGTTTATGTCAGTCAGTTAATTCAGTTATGACCAATTGTTGATTGTTTTGGGCTTTTCTATGTTTTGTGTTAAAGAAAAATCTTTTTATAAAAAGCATAGCTAAATAAAACTTCTCTAAAACTTCCTCAAGGCATTAAAGCCTCAAAAAACGCAATCAGCTACCAGACTAGAACCAGGGATGTCTAGCCTTGTGTTCTAACTCACTACCACTCTACCACCCTTGTAAAGGCTCAGCTGGCGGAAGACAGGCTTGTAATGTCGCGGTTTTTACGGAAATGTTGAGCTTTGAGCGCTTATAACTTTTGACAGAGTGCTCCATGGCAAAAACAGAAAGCCGATTCGGATTCAGCGCGAAATTCTGCGTCGAAGTGTCTATGATCATTTGATTTGACCACATCCAGTTGACCTTTTCAGTTGACTTTTCCAGTTTCAGCTGACTTTTCCATTCTCTTGTTAGTTAATTTATCAAGAAATTATTGTAGAATGGTCTGGATTGGTCAAGCAGACAGGTAATCAAAATTAGACTACGTTTTCAGCTAATTTCTTTGCTAAATTGGATCTATTTTGCAAAAATAGATCCAATTTGTTCAGCCCAATCATTGACCGAATCTTTTGATTCCTAAATGCTGATTGAATGAAATTCGAAACTTGATTAAGAGGTTTTTCTAAAGTAGGCCATTTAGAGAACGGATTACGGTATACGATACTACTAAGCTTGACTGGCAAGCAAGTCTACAAGTGAATTCATTTTGAAACTCACATTGTCTCGGGTAGAAGTACTCCTCGGTATACATCCAGTACTGACCAGATCCAACCTAAAACATTTTCAAATGAATGAATGAATTCTTTTCCTTTGTCAAACTTTATTCATATCTCTCTTGTAGGTTTCAATTGGTCCATTCTTTGACACAACTCGATAAGCTTCTTCAATCGAAAAACCATCAGCTCCCATCACCGAGTTTTCTTTAACTAGAAAAGTTTCTTTTACTAGTTTTCTTTTAAAACTTGTACTCCTTTTAACAGCTAATAGCGAAGTAGCTTAATTTCTTTAATATTTACTTTAAGGAATACTTGAATACTTACAATAAGCTTTCTTTAACTAGAAAAGTTTCTTTGACTAGTTTTCTTTGACTAGAAAAGTTTCTTTTACTAGTTTTCTTTTAATACTTGTACTCCTTTTAACAGCTAATAGCGAAGTAGCTTAATTTCTTTAATATTTATTCTAAAGAACACTTGAATACTTACAATAAGCTACTTGACAGAACATTTGTGTCCGGAAAACGTCAAAGTTGATTGCCGCTTTGTACATCTAAAATCAAGCTCTAGATTTGCTTTGAAAACCAAATTTTTATGTTCTTGGCCTTATTAAAGTTATAAATATACTATCTAGCGTAGATTTAACTTGGGCTTAAGACAAAAAAACAGTAAATTGCAGATGATTGTGAAAATAGCTTCATTGATTTTGTCTAAATTCATACCTAGTTTTCTAATTAGGAAAGGTACTAGATTCCTGTGAGATTTTGGAACGAAACCTCGCTCATTCAATAGGAAATTCAATGCGGATTCCGAATCTGTAATCAAAATCTGCTGAATAGCTTGCAAACGTAAGATTTCTAACCCGTTTTTTCTTGATCCAAAGATTTTTAAGCGAAAAGTTTTTGCTTTCTTCTACTTGGGTCGAGTTTATGTGCACTTTTTTCTCTAGGCTTTCACCGGCCCTCGTGGTGTAGTGGATAGTGTGATGGTTTCCAAAACGAGCTGGCTTTTTCTCTGGTGGGTTCGAATCCCCGCTTGCCAAACGAGCTTTTCTTTTTGATTTTTCACAACGATATTTGTGATTTTCGCAAAGAGAGCTTGTAGCTTGTATTTTAAGCGCAAAAGCTTGTATTTTAAGCACAAAATACACCCACTTGATGCCATTTTCCCATGAGGAGCTTTGCGGGGACATTCACTGTTTCCACCGTGCTTCCTAACATGTTCCCAATTCCGCCAATGATGCCAGTGATCGTTTGGAGATCCATCTAAAACTAAACGATAAGTTTTATCAGTTTGACGAGGTGAATCAAGGATATGAAAGTTGAACTGATTGTCAATAGGTGCACAACGAAAAAACGAGACTTCACCAGCTACTTTTTCAGGATTTCTTGCTGAAAGTAGAGTCTCTCAAGCTCTATCTTTTGATCTAAAAAAATCCTTGAAAAAAGTAAGCTAAAGTGGTCAAATCCCAGTTTTTCCGTTTTACACCTATTGACAATCGGATCGACAATTAAACATCATGCAAATCATGCTGAAATCAAAATTCTAAACCCACCGCATTCTCG